ATTAAATCAATCTTATGGCCCCCCCCCCCCCCGCGGTTCGACTCCCCCCTGCGCGCGGTGAGCGGGACCACCAAGCAGCTGCAGCACACCAAGCATCTGCAGCGCCCAGCGCAGCAGCGGCAGCAGCAGCAGCAGCAGACCACCCAGCGGCGGCAGCAGCAGCAGCAGCATACCCAACGCCGCGGCAGCAGCAGCCGCAGCAGACCACCCAGCGCCAGCAGCAGCAGCAGCAGCAGACGACCCGGCGCCTGCAGAGCACCCAGCGCAGCAGCGCCCAGCGCAGCAGCGGCAGCAGCAGCACCAGCAGCAGCAGCACCAGCAGCAGACCACCGGAAGCCCGGCTAGCTTTCGTTCACCCCCTCTGGCCTCAAGTACAGTGTATACAGTTTCAGATGCTCTCTTTGCATAAGAAACACTGTGCCATCAACACCTTTGGCATGGCACCTTTCCTTGGTACCAGCTTTTTCCACTTCAACCTCAACGCGCTCAAGCTCCTGCTCCGCAAGCCTTCCTCGAACTTCCTTAGTGACAATTTATACGACAAACGTATACGCTTGTGTCTCGCGCTAACGCTTCTGGCTCACATTCCTTGTCTCAAACCCAAGTCCATTGCTTTCCCCACAGCAAGGCACGGAGACTTTGCTGGATCCGGCCTTTTTACGACACATTGCCCTGAAGCAGAAAGGAGACTGGATGTGCCTTGACGCCTTGAGACACTGATTTGGACAATAACTGCATATAACTGCAGAACAGTGTGGTTTTGCACGAGCTAAAGCGAAAGACGGGTGCAAGTGTAGAATCTTATAAGAGAATGTCCGTTCAGGGTGTCATTACGAAGCTTCTAGATGCATCTACCAATTGACTGTGACTGTGAGGCCTACTCTGTTGTCTCGGAACTCACGGTGTTGCCGCTCGTCACCAGAAAGCCTACCCAACCGAAGTGAGTTTCGAAGAGCTTCCCCCCATGACAACCCCCCCCAAAAAAGCACAAAATCTGCCAGCAGATCGTGGCACCCTTATGACGATTGATGTTGGCATTGCTCGACCTCCGCATTTGGAAGGCTGCACTGGGCACTACTAGTGGACCTGTGCATTTTCTCCTTGCGTTTTTGCTGCTACTTTCTGACCTGTTCGCGGGTGTTGGTGGAGCTGCTTCATTATGGTAGCCACGGCCTCAGAGGCCACGCTTTCTGTGAAGCTCGAGTCGTTCTGGCCTTCTCCTTCATTCAACTTCGTAAATGTGATTCGAAACGAGAACACAGGTCACCAGTGTCAGTACCTTCTCCTCCATGTTGTGCACAGTGGTACGGGTGGGGTTGCACAGTGGTGCGACTTCCCTTGGGTAAGGTGCCGTGCTTTTCATCATCCTGGCATTCTCCTGTGGAATTGGGGCTTTTGGATCCACGATCATGGATTTTGATAGTATTCCTTCAGGAGGGGCTTGCGATTGTACCGCCCTGCATCCATTGGCCATGTTAGCTTTTCCAGGAGCCCTCTCTTTGCTCAAGATTGTCATTGGCATGTTTGAACGGAACCGCTTTGCACCTTAGATGCCTTAGTGTATTCAAACCTTTTCCCATCAGAAGATCAGCTCACAGTCCAATCTCTGAGGAAGCTCTTCGGGAAATTCCTCAGATCTACACTGTTTTGGTCATCTTTATCATGTTGACCTTGGTCTTTTTGGGAAGCTTGCTGATTGCTCAGATTGCAGGCGTGGCTGACAGCTTGTAGCACTTATTTTCATCCAAAGATGCAGCCACAATCTCAACTATATAAATGGGAGATGGCGCAACAGCTTTTTAGCTTGCTTCGAGGAGCTTACCACAACTTCCTTGTAGACATGCAGAACTATGCGGTCCTTTTCCGCAGCGGGATCACTATCGACACGGTGCGGTCTGTCCGTCCGAAGAAGTGGGCCGCTTTTTTATCCAGCTTGGGCTTTGAGGAGCGCTGTGCCGGCTCAGCTGAGCACTGCAGGGCCATGGACCATCATGGACCATTTCTTGGCGGGGCATGACTTACTGCTTAGCAGTGGGATGCGGGAAACGGTTACAGGAAGCACTTTGGAGAAGTTGCTGATCAGAAGTCTCCAGCGCTACACGATTCCACCTTGTGGCCTCAACCCCTCCCATTCAACCCAAGCCATGATAGCATGGCCTGGCCCCTCTTGCAGTCTTTGTCCTTGGTAAACTGTGAACAAAGAGGAGGTGCTGCTCAGATGGTATTCATGCCATCTATGTTTCGTATGTTTGTTAATGACTCAGCCTCAGTGTAACTTAAGGGTTGGCGTTTGATCTTGGGAGGAGCGCATCGAGTTCAATGAAGGGGACGTGGGCTTGGCCGGTGGAATCCAAATTCTGGAGCCCGCAAACTTAAACCCTACCCTGGTGGAGTGGGGCCCTCAGAGAGCTTGGGGCATTCAGGGGTGCTCCTGGTGCGAGCGGAAGTCGCTGGATGTCGCTGGATGTAGCCATGTAGCCGATGCATGCCGATGTAGCTGTCCATCACATGAATCATTTGTGCTTCCGTTTTGGCAGGACGGTGCGTCGCTATGGAGGCTCCACATCGGTGGACACTCCATGGCCGGATGAGGACGCCTTGGACAGGTCGAGTCTGGAAGCTAGGCCGGTGCCCGGGGGGATGACGGTGACACCAGCACCGTGAAAGCACACAGTCAGATGCAGCACATGAGATGAGATGGACCAAGATGGTTGAGACTCATTGGCACATTTGATGGGTGTTTTCGAATTTGCAGAAGAATGCAACTTCCTACTCTCGTGGGCATTTGGGCAGGTTGAAGCACATAGAAAAGCTGCTGGTCAGGGCGACCAAGGCGATGACAGGCACTGCACTACCACCATAAGTGGCACTCGGTGTTTCAAGCTTTGAAGATGTGCTTTGACATCAATTTGACTGTCATTTGGTGGAAGCCATGGACGTTCGCAGGCGAAAAGAAGGTCGGAAGTGAGGACTCGCAAGGCGGATCAAGCGCTTCTTTTCTCGGTAGCTCCGCGGGGGCTGGTAGCAGCGCTAGCGCTGGCTGATGTGGCGAGAGATCGTGACACGAAATCGTCGCTCAAAGTGACGTGCCTTGTCGCAAGTGCATGTCACTGTGGGTCACAGCGAGAGCTTTGTCACACTCGCCGGCTTCAGATCGAAGCGTATGACATTTGTAACAAGGATAAGGGTGCTACCGCAGTATGTTTGCTTGGCCGGGCCACCATCTGCTTACATGATTCATTGCTCCAAACAAACAACACAAATGTCTATAGACACTGACTCATTTGATAGGATATTTGATATTTGTAGCGAGGTTGCCCTCGCAAGTGCTTGCATGTTGAGCATGTTGATGCGCAGCGCGTTCCAAATTCAACGAAGCATGCAGCCTCAGTGGCTTCCTAATGGAGAGGTCAGCCTGAGGCTTCCAACGAGTTGCTCAGTTCTTGCGAAGCAAGAGGCCGAGCAGCTGTTGGCCAGGCACCCACAAAAAGGTGGTGCATGGTCCGGTCCACTCATGTTGAGTCGTTTCATATGTGGCATGCAGTCACTCTTTTCATATTTGGTACATCTTGTGCGCATGAGCCCAATGGCATTGGGGGTGGGTCACCCCGTGGGTGTCTCCTTCCTGAGAATTTCACATTTCAAGGCGCATGGAGGAAGGCCCCACCCCCAGCTCTACCGCGCTAGCTTCAAGCAGAAAGGACAAAGAACCGAATTTTCTTGGATGTCATGGTATCTCGAGCCCAGTCAAATTGACATGATCTCGAAGAAGGCACCATGTGCTGTTTGACTCATTGACTTTGCTTTGTTTGGTGTGTTTGCTTGGTTCTGTTCCATCGACAGCTGCTCGCTCAGCGGCCACCCTTCCTTGGCTAGCCTGCGGACGCTCCGCCTACGCAGCTGGAGGAACATTGAATGTATGTAACAATGTAAGCTCTATCAATAGTCTTTGACCACTCAATGGAACTCTTAAGTTTAGAATAGTTCAGACCTGTTTTGTATGACCGGAACGCCTCTTCAAACTCACCAATAAACTGGTTTAAGATTAGACTAGCTATCCATGTACCCACTGCCATGGACAACTTGACCCTGGCTGCCTGTGCTGCCTTCCTCACCGCTGCTGCTGTGTTGGGCTCGATGGCTTGGCTCGGCCATGTGGTACAGTAGCCTGACAGAACGTCCCACGAGCAATGTAGCTGAGCTACTGGTGTTTCCTCCACAAGACTGCAATACCAAAAAGGAAGAGGACATAAGTCAGACTATGAAGTCGGATAGGTGTTATCGTAGAGTGAGATGGGGACATTTGGGAGCATCAATTGGGAGACCGTCAAATAGAGTGCTGTCCTCGAGTTGATTCATATTCCTCGACACGTCACACGTCCTCGAGTGAGGTTTAGGGGTTGCATGAGGGCACTCATCACGACCTCAGCTCGCTGAGTCGCTCGTGAAAGACTCAGGAAGAAGAGCTTGACGTCTCATCATGTGCCTCACAAGGTGCCGACCCAGCGAGCTGCAGAAGTTCATTTGTCATGATCATGAATGTGAGTTTGTCACTACAATTGTTGAAAGTGGCATGTTTGCTTCTTCTAGCTTACAGTTTTCCTTAGCCTTTTTATGTGGTTTGTTCGATATATTCTTTACTTGATTTTTTTGAAAATTATAACATCTGTTCTACTGGTTCAAACTCCTTCAAAAGTCCAGAGCTGCTTTTAAAGAACATTGGATATCATCGCTTTGAGAAATCATATGTTCTTTACATAAATTGGAAAATGACCATCCAAAATCTGTTTCCTTTTCAACCCTATTCAATTTCCCACATCCCAGATATCTTCAAATCTTGCCGTCCATTTTGAAAGACTTAGTAGAATCACTCTTTCAGATCAAGCAAACAAGTCTTCCATTTCTTTTAATTTGTGTTGTTGTGTTACATTTTTTTGATCCTCTGTGGAATGTCAGCCTTCTGTGGCCTGTGCACCTTCTTGCTTGATACTTTAAACATTTTTAAGGGGGGTTAACATGAAATTGTATAAATGATTCTTACTAGTGGGCACGTCTAGGAATCATGTCTTTTAAAAAGTTGCACGCCCCAGGAATCATTAATAATGATTCTAGGGTATAGCCACAGTGGGTGCCCCTGATGGCACCATATATAAAATAATAATGCGTGGTTGCCACAATTAGTTTGCAGCCACTTTAGTTTAGCTGGTTGATAAATCACATCGGGATATCTTTTTGTTGCTTTTTTACAGAGGCGGCACGTAGCAAAAATCAGTAATTCTGCAAGGCAGCGCTAGCAAATCCGCTAGAAGAGCGCTAGGTTTGAATGCATTTCATTTGAGCAGCATCCCCGCCCAAAAAGAACTCCATTATTGAATTGCATAAGGGACTTGTTAATGGTTGCTCGTCGTGTCAGGTTTCAGAACACGCTGTTCTCTGGCTCCAAGCAGCTGAATTGGGAGACACACAAACGTTGCTGGGCAGGTTTGATTGGGGGCAGGGGCATTTTTCATGTGAGAAGATTCTGTTTTAGTGATACCATGCGATGCTCAAATTTAGATATATAGACAATAGAACTCTGAACCCCCATTGCAATGAAACTCTTGTACTTGTTTTGCATGTAATTATTGGAAATACTTGTCCATCAGGAGGTCCACTTGAATCAGTTGTTCAAGCTTATAACATCTTCCAACGGCGATGTGGTCGCTTTCCCTCAGCAAAGCACTGACCATGGAGGCAAACCATTGAAGCGAGATGCCAGGTGTGTTCTGGAAAATCTGTTTGTCCGCAGCTATTATTCAGCTCTACATAGCTCTACCACAACCTAATTTTGGTCAACTTTGATTCGCTCCTCTTGGCTCATCATTTCTGAAGGTTCCATTCATTGGGAAGAGGTGTTCGAAGAGACCAATGACCAAGCACCCAAAATGAGAGTTTTGATCATTTGTTCCACCACACGCCAGATCACGCCATGAATGCAACGCCCTATACTTCGCCAAGGCTCCGGCAAGAGGTGCAAATGCGTCCAGAACTCCGGGAAGCGTGCAATGCGAAGGGTGAGAAAACTCAGTGAAGTGAATGACAGGCCAGCTCTGCAGTGCAGGGAAGAAGAGCCTAGAGATGGAGGGAGACGATGAAACGGGTCTGAGGTGAGACTGCCTTGATTCTGGCAGCCCGCTTGGGACACTTGTCTGCCTGCAAGCTATTGGTCCCTTGGAACGCGGTTCAGGGAGACAAGGGAGGGGGTAGAGCAGAGAGCATGCTCCATTTTGGATGCTCGTAGTTTTGGACTCAGGTTTCCTTGCGCGCAGATGTCGAGGCCACAGACAGCAGCGGCGGCACTCCTTTGACTCACGCAGCGCATGGGAAGCATAAAGAAGTTTGCCAGCTGCTATTGGATCATGGCTGGGCACTCGGGAGTGTGATTCACTCACGGACAGTGTGCAGTACGCCTGTGTAGTCATGATCCGAGCTGGAGAGACGCCTTTTTTGGATATTATACGTATGGGCCGTATGGGTTTGTGTGTGTGTGTGTGTCTAAATTGGGGGACCTCCCAAAGACGCCTGGAAGAAGGGAAATAGACCGAAACCCATCGGTCCCCCTATCAAAATACGTCCACACACACACACTGACACAGAGAGAGAGAGAGAGATCCACAAAGAAAGAAAGGGAGAAGCACATGAAGCTCGCTATACGCACTGCTCAAGAGTTGCATGCGTGAGGCGCCGACATTGAGGCCATTGACTGTGGTGTGGGCGGCCAAGCGCTGTAGGGCGGCTATCCATCAAAGACGGGCAGAGGAGATTGTCATTCAATTGGCCTGAGGTGAGAAGCACTGGTTGTTTCGTACAATGAGAGGAAAAGGAATGCGCGCCGAAGCCGGACATTTGCCGATTCAGAAACCAACCGAACAGGAAACTACGATTCAGAAACCAAAATAGCCGATTCAGAAACTACAATTTTAAAGAAAATGGACGATTCAGCAACCACGATTCAGAAACCAAGTCCGATTCAGGAACCAAATGAGCCGATTCAGAAACCAAATGGGCCGATTCAGAAACCAAGCGAGTCCCGATTCAGAAACCAAAACAGCCGATTCAGAAACCAAGTCGGACGATTCAGAAACCAAACCAGGCGATTCAGCAACTACGATTCAGAAACCAACACAGCCGATTCAGGAACCAAAACAGCGGATGCAGAAACCAAGTCAGACAATTCAGAAACCAAACCAGACGATGGCTGCAATGGGGTGGAGGGCAGGAGGAGTGTGGGGTGGGGGAGGAACCATGGCCAAGATAATAACGTCCGATGTGGTTACAAAGGGCTTTTACATTCATTCAAGTAAGAATTTAGAATATTCGGAAGTTTTTTGCATATGGCTGAATAGAGTGATGACCCAGATAATGACGTTCCATGTGGTTGCAAAGGGTTTAAGAATATGTCGATATGTACAGCCTATGGTTGGAAACAACGAGTTGGTTTCTGCATCGCAGTTTCCTGACCGTTGTATTTACAGCGGAGTATAGCACGCCGCCCCTAAAAGCGACGACATCTTCACGAACATTTGTAAGCCTGAAAGATGAAGATGAACTTGTTGAGGGTTTTGCCATGCTAGTTTGGCATGGTTCGACCAAAAAAAAGTTTGGTCTGTGTGCTTGTGACCACCAAGAGAGACACGCGCACAGTCTTGGTTGTGTTGTGATGAAATGCTACTACTACTACTACTACAACTACTACTACTACTAATACTAATATATACATATATATACTAATACTGCTACTGTACCACTACCACTCCCGCTGCCACTACTACTACCACTGCTACTACCACGACCACTACCCGGATCATCAGTTTCTTCTGTTGTTATATTGGTTTGGTTTCAGGGTTTTTAGTGGCTTTTGTTACCGAGTCAGCGGTTTTGGTTGCCAAATCAGCGGTTTTGGGTGCCGAGTCAGAGGGCTTTGGTTGCCGAATCAGCGGTTTTGGTTACCGAACCAGACGTCGACCGCAGAAGCCGGAGAGTGTTCCAAACTTTGCTATACACCAACTGGTCATCAATAACTTTTTTCTCAGCGGTTGTTTGACCGTGTGCAGTGGCTCAGCGGTTCACCCCTACAGTTTGCAGTTTGCACTTTTTTTCAGCAAAAGGTGGCAAGCGGCAAGAGAATGACAAACCTTCCAGCCACTTCACAAGGAAGCGGCATGCTTTGTAGCAAGGCTGATGCGTGTGTTTGTATTGTTTTGCATGATGTACAGTTAATATATCTATGTCTATATCAATCCAAGTAGTCCAACATGACCTACAGAGAGAGCACCTGGAAAGTGTGAGCTGTCATAGCGATGGCTGTCTCCAGCTTGCGCCACTTGCTCGCGGCGCCAGCTTGAGCCTCAAGATATTCCAAGCAGGTTCCTCTTTCGTTTGATGCTCTTGATTGAAGTCCAAAGCCAGCAGGTATCAGGTGTCAGTGAATCACAAAAAAAACTTTGAAGTTAACTCCAACATTATCCACTCTGAGGTGCCCTTCACTCCAGGAGCGGAAAACCGGACATACCTTCTATCAGAAACGTGTGAGACTGTGACTTTGGCGGGTCAGTGATTTAGACAATTGTTACTTCTTCCACGTGTTTCTTCTACCTGTACTTGGAACGGCCTGAGACAAAAGCTGGGATTGGTACACATGGCTCACACGGATGATTAAGTTGTTTGTTGCCATGGTGGGTCCTGCCCTGACCCCTCGTAGCACCGCCCGGGCTTGCTCCGCCGACGTGGACAGGAAGACGGTGGCACCAACGCGCAACCGTTGGTAAGCTCAGTTGCTGAGCGGTATACTCTAGCACCCATGTCGAGGGGATGTTTGGCCACACCAAGCCATGTTTGATACTTTTTGCATACTAATAGATTATTTGGAGTCTTGGGCTTTAATTAATCAGGATAGTTTGGGTTCAAAGTGGCCTGTGAGAGCAACGAGCAACAGCACCTCCCAACGTTCGCGAAACCTCAAAAACGATCAAGTTCACAATGTTCTAAAAGCACGCTGCAGCAGCATCCAGATACATAGCCCGGTTCAAAGAGCCTCTCATGGCACGTTTTGGCCATGCAAGTCGCAGATGTGGACAGATTTTTGTGCAGTGGGGTGGTTCCCTGGGTGTGGGCTCAACAGAAGCCACTGCAGGTCAGTTGTTCCATCCTTTGTGGTTGCGCTTGAACGACCCCAGTCAGATCACCCGGAACCAGCAGCGTCTCTTTGAGATGTCCAGTATCATGGATCGAAGAAACAGCTGGGAGGTGACCGATCTGAAAAAACGAACAGGAGCGACTCTCAGTGCAGTGGGGCGATGGTGCTCAGAGTTACTATCCTTGGCATTGGCTTGCAGAGCATGCAACCGCTGGCGCTGCAGAAGCTGCTGAAGCCAAGCAGCTGAAGCTGGAGGTTCCAAAGCATCTTTGGAATCAAAGCTTTCAAAGTACCTTGCCGCGGATGGAGTATGAAGCGCTATTGACCCGCAGCGGCAAGCTTCAGTTGTGCACATATTTGGAAAGGTATGGTTTGGCTTTTGTTAGTGGTTTGGGGGCTGCCGAGGGCACAGTGAAGAAGGTTGGAAACTACATTGGCCATGTGAGAGTCACAAACTATGGTGCCATCTTTGATGTCAAAGATGATGGTGCCAAGGCAACCAATCTCGCCTTCACAAATCAAAAGATCTCAGCCCACACCGACAACCCTTACCGAGACCCCTTCCCTGGAATACAAATGCTACATTGCCTCAGCTGCGCAGGGGAAGGTGGCGCTACCCTTTTCACCGATGGTTTTAGTGTGGCCCAAAAGCTCAAAAGCTTGGATCCCACTGCTTTCCATTTGCTTTCAAACATAGAACACCCATATGAATACAGGGATCCAGATGCAGCTGTCCTGTTACAAGCAAGCGTGCCCGTTATCAAGCTTTGCCAGGGTGAAATCGAAAGGATCACTTTCAACAACCGATCTGCAGCACCGATGGGGCCGGAGATGCCAGAGCTGGAACGCTACTACGAGGCGTGGGCTTTGTTCGATCGCATGGCCAACTCCATGGAGTTCACAGTCAAAGCGAACTTGTACCTTGGCAGCCGCATAGTCTCATTAGTATCGGGTAGTCTCATGCGCTGCGTGTCCCCATCAAGTGAAACGCCAAGAATGATCGCGCATGTTTCCGTGGCACTCCTGCACATGGTTCGATTCTCAGAATTCTCGCACTGTCCAAAGGTTGCCCCCTTACTGTCCAAGCTTTTTTGCCTTATGCCTCAGGTCTTGACCGCTTATGCCTCGCTTTACTCGCGTTTAATTCTTACGCCACACTTACACCTTAAGGTCCTAGGTCTTTGAGCAAGAGCATTTATATAACACTGCAAGTCCTTTTTCCATGACGCGGGGGCCTAGGGTGGCGGGCGCATATTTTTTGGACTTCCCTATTAGTGTGTTGGTGGCGGACCACGGCCGTTGCTGCACTTGGCAGGAAGCCTGGAGACTTAGCGATTTGGTCCAACGGCCGCGTGATGCACGGACGTGAGGGCTACGAACGCGGTGCTCCAAGGCATTTGCAAGGGGCCTACCTGGATTATGATGAGATCCAGTCCGCAGTTCGGGCCGCCCTAGCTGAAGGAAAAGACCTGGAAAGGTTCAGCATCCACCAGATCGAGTGAATGGTGAAAAGAAAGTGGATCCAGCAGCTTTGACAGTGTGGTCACTTGGATCGAGGAACCAGCGCGTTTCTTTTTCGATGAATGCTCCCGTGGATCAACGGACGTGCAACTTGAAACCCGAGCAGCAAGAGGACGTGATTTGTCTTGGGGGGGGGAGTGGGGGGAAGAAATGGACAAGGTCCAGCAGAGGAGGTGTTCAAAGACCTGCAGCCAACACCCCGAGCCACAGCGAGAGAGAGAGAGAGAGACAGACAGACAAGAGAGGGAGACCAGCGTCCCGCAGCGCTGCGAGAGAGTGTGGTCGCCTCCATAGCAGATGGCCTGTTACGGTTTAGTTATGGCCCGTTATGGCTCTAGACTATTTAAGGCTACTGGCTACCTTGCTCGAGCCGGTTGCCTCTCTATGCCCACACCACTTCCTGCCCAGTGGTGGCCAGGAACTGTACGTTGTTGGAAACTTCTTGCCTGGACCCAATGTCGCTGGCAAAGTGATCACTCTTCCGGATTGCCAAGGTGCTTGTGGTCTTCGCTGGCAGTTGGGTCAGAAGCTTGAGTGATCCCTCCATACATGCCCATAGGCCCATAGATTATCATGTACACATATATAGTATATACACATCTACTATTCCTTTCTAATAATGGGTTCGCTGCTTCGGGGTGAAGGAAGATACAGCATCACGCCCAGTTCCGTCCAGAAGATACGTAGATGATCGTAGATGGTTTTGCTGCATGCTGTATCCTAAGAAGGCTTTGATGATGCTGGTGCTACTTGCACAAAAGTTGTCCTACACTTATGCTCCGTCTGTGAGTCAGGTGTCCGCATTCCTCGGTTGGCATGCGTGCACAAATGCCGGCATGAAAGCACGGGCAACTCTTCTCAATAATTGCTGCTGGATGGCTGTGCATGTGAAATGTTGGATGTCGCTGCTGTCGCAGATACACTCAGGCGCCGCAGATTCAGCGCCGCTTTCTTGGAGACATGTGATCTCCTTAGGTGGCCTGAAGATCCGGGCTTGGGATACATTGAAGTCAGAGGAGGCCATCACTGGCATACTGCAGCCATCAGAGGCCACAGAAAACCCTTCTGCTTCTGGTGGCGGGTCTCCGACCGTCTCCGATTGTCTTCGGCCTTGAGGTTCGGCGAGGCCAAAGAAGAGTCCAGGGCTCCGTCCTTTGTTTGACGGGCCGCTGCTCTGCCGGCACGGTTTCTTTGGGGTGCCACAGCCGCATGCTCAGGCGGAGCCGCCTGTGGATGAAGTCTTTGAGGATGAGCCAGGCATGAACACCTACTGTAATTATTTGGAACATGTCATTGATACGTTTAGCTGCAGCCGCGAAGAGCGAGCGGCTAGTATAGCGGCGCAACCCAAGAGAAGTCATAATGAATCATATATAATAGATCTGTCACAATCACCTTGCTTTGCCTCAATCAGAATGCCATGCACACAGGACGTGGCGGCCCCTACGCACCAGCAGGCCAGAGCACATGGGAGGAGAATGGAGCAGATGTTGCATTCACCTTTCAGATCCTTTCAGCATTATTTTTTCAAGCTCATTTGGGACGCTCAAGTGTCTTTGTCATGGACATGGCCATTTCGGTCCGTGAAGCAAGGCCTCAAACCAGACTGGATCTAAGTTTAAGTGAGCACAAAAAGGCCTCCGTCTCCGCCTTTTTCAGCCTTGGAACTTGGCTTTAGACCATCCTCACTGTCCATGTCTGGCGGCCGATCCGCTCGACTTCAGTGTCGACACTGAGGTTTCGACACCCGGCGCATGCAGTTTGAGATCGATCGACCCTCAGAAAGGGTCATTTGGAATTCTTTTGATAGGAAAGGCTCATCACGCAACATCCGAAGGCGATCGGTCGAAGGCGTAGATGATTGGTCAAAGGATGTGGATGGTCGAAGGACGTATGTCCACCAGATCGTTTGCCTATCTTCGATGCCCAGATCGTGACCCTGGTGCGCCATAGTCCACCAGATTGAATGCCTGACCGGGCTGTCCACCAGATCGAATGCCTGACCGGGCTGGTCACATCAAAAGATGTGGTTGTCGGGTTCCGATTGTTCTTCAGGGATTTAGGACTGCTACCCACCAAGCAGGACACTGGAAACTCAGCCTCCTTCAATGTCTAATTCCACCCGGCGACTCACCACACTCCAATCCTCACATGGAGATCATCCTCACGATGTTCCACCAACATCCACCAACCAGGTTTGCTCGGCTGTGCCGCAAAGATTCCGCGCTTTGTTTAGCGATTCTGAGCTCAAACGGGGCAGCCGGGCAGCCTTGGGAGCGTGCCGGGCAGGCTGCTGTTTGGATGGACCTGTGGGAGTTTTTTCCCAAGGTCAAGACGACCAAAAGGGTCGTGTTTTACTCGGGGAGTGTGACGATAATATGGTACTTGATGCATATTCCGCTGGTGTACTACATGATTCACACCTTCGCCCACGAGAAGCAGCACACGATTGCTGTGAACAACTCGCCATTCCTGTTGCTGAATGTGGACGTTAACACCCTGCTAAGCAACTTGCCTTTGATGGCGACCTCCAACACAACGCAAATTTGGGATCCTACGATCTCAATGTGGTGTGCAATGGCTGCTGCCGGCCCCTTTTCATGCAGAAACAGTACTGCAGAGATATACCAGGAGTGTGTAGCAAGGTGCTGTTTGGCAAGGCTTTGTCTTATTTCTGTTGACATGGTTTGATCATGTTTAATGACCAGCACCCTAAGCCCTTTTTGATCAGGTGAGCCTTCTGAATGAAGAGTGGCTTAAAGTTGTGGACATGCAGCTCCATAAGGCTTGCACACGAGCTTGCACCTGGTTGGATGCCATGGACTGCTTTCAGCCCACCGCGAACATCCTGCCAACCAGCAGCACCACTCTTGAAATGGTTACCTTTGGCTCCTTCAATGTTGGGGGTTTGTCTGCAGCAGGCAGTGTCAGTCAAGATGTATGGGCTCTATTGAATCCGCTGATGGGTGTGCTTCCTGTAGACATCACGTATTTCTTTGAGTTGACTGAGTCGGTTCCTTGGTTCTTTGGGCAAGACCCAGCATTGGCAGAGCGGAAGACCAATCTCGATGCGCATACCATTTTGGTGAATCAGAACAATCATGTGATGCGTTCCTTCCCACCCGGGCGCATTTCAGTGACACCCCAAGAGCTTTTGGCCTTGGCTGGCTGGGAGTGGAATCTAAAGACCTTACTCAATGGTGGTGAGTTTGGAGCGGTCGTCAATTGCTACAATGACAACCACGATTTGCCTCCACTCGTTTGGGCCAACTTCGAAGTGGTATACCCAGAAACGAGACTAGCACTGTGCTTACTCACAGTAGAGGAGCGTCGTGATGCCTCAGTCGTCAAAGTGGCAGATCCTTTCATCGGCTCGACTTTTATCAATGCCCATGTGCGCATTGACGCATATCGAGGGAATAGCTTTTTCCGGCTAGCGTCTTTGGCCCAACTGGTTGTGACCCTGATTTCATTCTTGGTTCTCCTGAATTTGTCTACCAACGTGGCCGTTTTTTTTGCCACCTACTGTTTGGGTCCTTTGTCCAAAATCTTCCGAAGAGCACATACCGAGAGCTTCTACATCATATACAAAATCCCTTCGCTGGGCCTTGCTTTGGCCGCCGACTTCTTGACCTTGTCCAAGCTCCAAGATGCAGCCGGAGTTAGCTCTTTCCGCTCCGCTTTGAGCCACGAGATGCAACGGATCCTGCAGACATTAGCACCCCACAAGCCGGAGATCGCCCCGGATTTCGCAAACCATATCTTCCAGAAGGTCTGTGACACTAACCATGCTGTGATGAGCCACTTGGGCAAGGAAGGCCAGGCCGAGCAGGTTTGTGCATACTTCGATCTCCATCGCAAACGTCACTTCTTGGAGTGGACAGTCCTCCCGGCTCAGCACCGTAGCAGCCTGCGAAGCCGAATCTCACGTGCCAGCTCCATGGCTTTGATGGAGGAGGACCTGCGCCTGCCCCAGCCCGGAACAGTGACGTCAAACATTCGTGAGGTGAAAGCAGAAGTGGACGCGCTGGCAGCAGAGAGTCAAGATGAGAAAGATGAGTGGATAGAGAAGCAGCGGGAAAAGATTCAGACCTTGCTGGAACAGCTGCAGAACGTTCAAGACCGCCTCCGAGCAAGAGATGCAGCCAGCAAGTCTTACGAGAAAGATGTGACGAGGCTGCTGAGGAAGAAGGACTCTTTGCAACGGAGGTGCAAGCAGGTCGAGAAGCAAAGGTCCAAGCTCGTAGAGGAGATTTGGGCATGGCGGCAGAGAGCTATCTATGACCCGAACTCCACGGACACGCCACCTCCGACCTTTGCTACATCTTCGTTCCCATTATCCATTTGAGTTTTTTGGATATCACACTCATCAAATCATTGACATATAGTTGAAATGCTGGCTCGCAACGTCGAGCACTGAGGGACTTCGTGCAAAATGGCATGGCCCTCTCAAACGGCAGAACGGCCAAGCCGTCCTCTCGTACAGACATGTTTGGCTCATGTCCGGAAAAGTATAGAAGATCGACATCATTTTCGATGTGGCCACACGCCACGCCACCTGCAGACGGCATGGGGGGCCACACACCACGCCACTGCAGGTAAGATATCCTCATCCGGCACTTCGACAAGAGAACGAAGACATCAAGACCTTCGCCCCAACCCTGGTGAGTGCATGGGGGAACAGCAGCTCATTTGCCATGGTTGACCCCGGTTTGAACACATGCATGCGGCATACGTACATTCAAAGTTCAAAATCATAATTCTCCTTTGCTATTTAAAGACGCTTGTGCATCGGACAATTTCCAGGATGCAAGCAGAGACACGGCCAGAGCCGAGGACAGGAGGCTACGGACTTTGGCTGACAACCTCTTTGCAACTCTTTATGCCACAGGCAGGGGCCAAATACCGAGGCGAGACAAGAGTATATTTTAATCGTGTACAGTCTGCAGGTCCAGCCCTTTGATTTCGGATTGATCGCTTTTGGACTCCGGCGACTAAGGTTTAATATGGTTCAATATCTACCCGACCTGAGCGAACCAATCAGAGTCCTCTACTGATTTCGCGAATTCAGTGTTTCTGGATTAATTTCCAAATTCCTGAAAGGTGTACCAATCAAAAAACTTGGAAGATTAGTTCAGGAAAATGAACACAAACTGCTCTGACTCGAAAGGGGTCCAAATATTGAAGGACTCAGCAAACTGGGGGGTGGCTGATTACTTACTTTCTGGCAGCTGCACAAGGAGAAATGAAACCAAGGGGTGACAGGAGTCAACCACTGTAATAAAGTGAGTTAATGATTTGGAAGGGGTGGACTCAACACTTAACTTTGTGAGGACGTATTCTTAATGTTGGATCCCTTCAAGCTGGGCACTCCAAATCTTTCAACAACGAGAGCGTGTGGATCCCTAGAAGCCCTTAGCAAGTGTTGAACTAGGGACACTTTCAGATACAGATGCAATACACACGATCAGTCTCATGCATAGCGCGGAGAAAAAAAATAGAAAATATTAGAAAACTAAATCCAAAAATGGCGAACACTGCAGTGATCTACAGTGGTGTTCTTCCTTTGCCGCATGCCAATCGTGGGGATGTTATATGGAGGATTTCTGACTAGAGGTGCAAAATTATTCAACAAAAACGGGGTCAAGGTCCCCCAGAGTAGTACACACGACCCTATGACCCACTCAAACCACCTTCAACACTTGCCGTGTAAGCCCATTGATTCGCTCAGGTCCCCTATAAAATGA